CATCCAAAACCAAATGTTTGGATTTTCCACAGCTCATTAGCTGCGCTGGAACTTCCTCTTGCCCTTTTAATAGCGAAGCCTGTTATTAATCGCCTTACTGCTATGAAGGCCACAGGAAAGTGCGCACCTCTAATCAAAGGTTAACAAGCTCTGACAATTGTTGCTTGAAGTTCAGAAGTCCTTATGACAATATATTAATCCAATTACCTCTCTTCTAAGTCTCTTATTTTTGCTGGCAGTTACAAAGTGACCATTTAAATTTTACTTATTGAGAAGTAACAGCTGATCGTTAACAAAAAGCAACTTACACTTTTTTCTAACACAGCACGAGATGGAAAATCAATTTCTAAGAGGTCTTTCAAGTTTTGTAATAAACTGATTTCTGGATCCCTGCAGGTGGGAGAGAGGGAGAAAAAAGTCAACACGAGGAACGGCAAACACCATTTCCAACCTGGATTATTAAAGATGCTTACCATAAGTGCATATTGTCGTTCAGCTTAATTCTCAGAGGGTTAACCACTGCAAACGACGTACAGAAATAATTACATCACCTTCAGGATCCCCTTTGCTCCCCCACCCAATTTAACCTCTCATGTTTTGGCACTGAAGGGGAAGGCACGGGTTGGGCTTTTTTAATTATTTAAGCTATGTAAATCAACGACGGCTCTTGGTGTTTGGTTTGGGGAATTCATTACACTAATGGTTAAAATACCATACTGTTGAAGATACGATTGGTAGTTACTTTAAAAAGTTGGTAAAAAGCTGCGGAACACAGAGTAAGAGACTTACTTGCCAAACACTATTAGGACATACGTAGTAAATTTTTAGTTTTTCTTTAGAAAGAACATTGTATTAAAATATAAACGCGATTGGGTAATCATCTGTGGGACACAGGGTTCCCTCTAAACTGTGCTAGGAAAGCACTGGAGCAAAGTGTCACTCACAGAGCAAAACAGCATGCTGGGGATTTAGGCTGTTAAAACCCCAGCATCTACTGTGTCAAACTCCCCTACGCACATATTCAGCTTAATTCCTGCCTAAGGGAAGTTTACGCCAGGAGTCTGACACAGCTCACACCAGTATCTGCTCACCAGAGCTCAGATGCCAGAAGAGAAACAAAGGGCGTCCGTCCGCTGCCTTACCGTGATCGGCTCCCAGAAAATAACACTCGGGGAGCATCTTCGGATGCCGAGGATCGACCTCGATGTTCACCGAGACGTTGTTCCCTACAATGAGAAAGCAAGTCAGTCACAGGGGAAGCTTTTCTTTCCAGTCAAGTATTTGAAAACGGAACCATTAGCCTTTTTTTAAAAGCAGTTTTAAACTGGTTAATTCAGGCTGGTTTTCATTACTACAAATAATAAGAAAGTTGATAGGTATCCAAATAATTGTACAAAATACCAGTATATATTAAATATTTAAATTCCATGGACTGTAATTAAAAATAGCAACTGATCAAATACAACTGCCAGTCGTGCATTTCTTACAGACTATTCTTAGCCTTAACACTTAGAGTTATTTCTGAATAATCAAACTCAAGCTAGATGACATAATCCATTCAAAATCTTAGTGAAATTGTAACGGTAGTAGTTATTAAGTCCTCATCGTCTTTTACAGTCAAAAAGAGAAGCATAAAGACAATATTAAGCGGTAAAAGTCAGTCGCCTCCACAGCATACTCCTGGACGGAGCGAATGACGACTATTTTTGAAAGAGCAAGTCTTTTTCTTTTACCAGATCCCCCATTATCCCCCTAAGGTCTGCTATTCACAAGGGGTAAGCAGCTCAAAAATGTACCGGATCCAGGTTAAAAACCTCCCAGCAAATGCTCTTCTAAATAAAACCAGGTGAAACCCAACATTTTTTGTAATTAAGAGCTACTTTAGGCTTACCCTCCTTGAAGAAATTGGAATGAACGACACCAAAGTTCAGTCCTAACTGCAGATTTGTCTGTCACCGACAACAAGGGGCTCGGAGCCTCGGGCTGCCCTGCCCCGGATCCAACCTGAGGCGCGTTTTGGGGCTTTTCGTTCCCTTTCATCAGGCTGTGCCGAAGCACAGCGGCACCCAGATGAAGCCACCCCGACCGCACACACGCACGCACGCACGCACACACAAGCAGTGTCTGACCCGTGTTATTTTAGCCGGTTGCTGAACTTTTTCTGTCCCCCGCTCGGCCCCCAGCGCAGGAGCAGCCTCAGCCCCCCACGAGCTCCTTGCCTTCCTCGCCCTGCAGGCAACCAGTCTCTCCACAGGCTGCGGGGACAGCTCGGGTCTACTCTGGTCCATTGTATCTTCTCAAGTCCTACAACGTCCTATTGGTATTTTGGATTTCAGCTAAAAATCAGAACTCCTCTTTCAAAAACATCCCCTGTATTTCTAACGTCTGACAGTGGCAAGCTTCTCCTTTGCAATTACAAGACTCCTTATCCTATATACATTAAGACTTTAAAATGCCAGGTATGTGAATTAAGGTACTTTTTCAGCTGGTTAACACTGTAAGCCTCTAATTTCCGCTCTTCTCTTATTTCTTTGTCCTTCCCACCTGCCTCTTGTAACCCCCTTTTCTCCCGTTTGACTGCACTCTCATATTCCCTTCACTCTTCCAGGACGGGATCAATCTAAAGTAGTAGCCTGTTAAAAAATTGTGGAATTTGTGAACGAGAGAAGGGCTTCACCTCAACGGATTTTTCACAAATACTGAGTCTTCTAGAGTTATCATGCAAGTCCTCAGTTTTTGACAGTTACATGTTCATAATTTACAAATACACAGTATTTTCCTGCAGAAACTCATTTTATGTAACCCCATAAAGTTGTAATTCATTTCCTATACAGGCTCAGTAGTCTGTGCAAGGCTTCTTTTTTTTTAATACACCAACTAAGAGAGTTGTGTCTTGCTGGTTTTAAGTGCTACCTTTCATTTTCCTACCTCTAACAAGCACCACCTGATTAGAAAAGCAAAGCAAAGCAGCACCCCGAGTTTCACTTCTCAAACCCACTGCATTCCTTCCAGTCTTCTCCTACCTATTGCAATCCTCCTTGCTGTAGCGCTCCGTGTGGGATTTTCTGGCTCAAGCACCCATGTCTTCCCATCGATTTCATCCATGGCATCCCAGAATTCTTTCAGCGATTCTAATGCCGCCAGGAACTGATTATAAATGTCCGTTAAGGAGTTCTAAGAAAAGACGACATTTAAACAAATTTCATATTGTTTGCACCTACAGACATATCGAATATTTAAAAAACAAACGGTAGGTAATTTAAGAAGTGTTAAAATCTAGTATGTATCCAATTGTATCGTGGTAGCATAAAACCTCACAGTTTTTTTAAGCTGAAATAACACAAATAAAGAACAGCTGTATCCTGCGTACAAAGAAGTACTCTAACCCTGGTAGATCTAACATGTGGCATACATCCGTCATACCTGGATTTGGTAACATTATACACTCCTTTTTAGGAAACTTTTCTGAAAACTGGTAACAACTGTTAATTTGCATTGTAACTTGTAACAAACTACTGTAAAATTAAAGTAAAAATCATCATTATCTGCTATTAAACTTCTAACGTCATTCTGACATTTTGGCTGTACTTCAGCTGAGCAACACGGCACCAAATATAAACACACAGAAATAGCCATGTAACTAACGTCGCTTATTTATTTTTTTAAAGACTCTAAGAAATATAGCCTAACAATGTCATAATTATCTCAAAATTAAGCAGTATAAAACCAGGTACTTAACATTAGATTTGAAGCCATGTAAATACGGTAAGGGAAGGAGAAGCCATCTCATAATCAGAGGATTACACTCAAGGGATTTCAATATTTGAGAGTGGATTAGATGGAATCAGAAAAATCTTTCATTATACAGGACAACATACAGAACAGCGATGTAAAAGAAGTCTTTTTAAAATCAGCAGTGAGCACAAAAGTAACTGTTTCTAGAGGGAAAGACTACTGCCAGTAGAGAAAACACTTGGCAGTCAGCACCTTTCCAAATGCAGACGCCCAGAGGGTGCATAACATGAATTTAGGGAACCGAACGGAGGCGAAGAATGCAGGAGGAGGAAAGAGATGAGTTCTGCTCGGAGTAATACCCCACGCGGGTTTTGAGCCCGCCGTCGGACGGATTCAGCGGAGGAACTGGGAAGCGGCCCGAACAGCCCAGGAGAACACGGAGCCGACAGAACCCAGCTTCGTGGGGGGGAGAAAGGGAAAAAGCGACGGTGTGAAGGCACCAGACGAAGGCGGCGGGGAAAGGAGCTGAAGGGAGGGGGGAAGTGTTTTGGAGACGGACTCTTCCCAGATAACCTGTTTCCTCAAATTGTTTGGGAGCGGGAAAGTCAAGAGTAGAGAAAGAGGAACCCTTTGGGAGCACCAAAGGGTAGCTTGAAACCGTTTACACAGAACACAACCGAACAATTAAATGCATGAGTAAAAAGCAGGAAAGATAGGAGAGAAGCGACCGGACTTCTTCAAGTCAGATCAAGCGATGGTAGTGTACGTTTTGAAAAACAAAAAGGATGTAAGAAAGTCCAGATTTCAGACGTCTTTTGGCCTGGGAACAAGTTCTTGGGGTCAAAAAGAAAAAGCAAATGAAATGTTCAGTTCTTAAAGAGGTATTTTTCTGTAAATAACACAAAATGTACATGGAATGGTCTCCTTTAATCTTTAGTAATTACCTTCTTCCCTTCTCACCTGGACAAAAAGAAGCAAATTATATGAACATTCGCAGATAAGAAATACGGTTTTTATATGTAATAAGTTTTTCTATTTTATGCATACATATTTTAGAAAGAAACGGTGTAGCTTAGAAATAAAATGCTACATTTTTTCCTGCTGTTATTAAATTATATTAAAGTAGGAAAGCACTTAAGCAGAAAAGTGTGAATACTGCCAATCTCAAAATGTAACGCTTATTATCTTTAAAAGCATTTTGTTACTTGTATAATACCTGAAGTGATATAATAGTGTCAGTCACTTAACCACATCTTAGAGTATAATATCTTCATCTTAAGTACTATTATTTCCAGTATTTTAATAATTTTCACACAGTCCTGAAATGTGATCTTTTGTGCTCTGATGACACTTAAATTAATAGCATAATTTTCTGGTACTTGCAACAGTTGCTTTCCATTTTGATTTTTTACATTTTTCTATATCACATACAGATAAATCCTCTAATAATCATTTTTATCTTTATCTTCTGGGAATTCAAAGGGTTTCACTAGAAAAAAAGAAACATCAAGGGATTATAACCCACAGATAAGTTTTAAAATCCAATTAATTTTAATACTAATTGTAATTTTTCAATGATGTTCCTTAAAAAGGTAGTTAAATCTTTTTTTTTAATGCACTGTTCATTTGATCTTATTTGCATGCTTCATTGATGTTGCCAGCTGTCTCCTGCTATATACATAAATGCATCTATAGCTATTTAAATACATCACATGCTTGTCATGCAAACCGTGAAAACCATAACATCCCTTTTTATTTGATTAACCAACTAATTTTTGGTCATTGCCCAGCACTTTTAGAAAAGACCGCTATCATGCTGCTTTTTTTTGTCCACACCACACCAACATAGTCGTTAATAATGTCAAACAGCACAAGCTCCTTATTTCTTGGTCACCTTTGTACGAACGCATCAGAATTTGTAGGAAATACGGCAAATATTCTTTGGATTCATAATTCAGGATATCGTCACTGGCTGCCCTGACGCTCAAACCCACGAGCAAAACCAGACTGATCACTCCATCCTCTCTCTCTGTTTGGTTTCCATGCTCATCAGGCAAAACATCCATTATAAAAACAAAGGACGCTCTGGCAGTTTAATCTCTCACAACTTAAAACAAAACGAAGATTTTTAAAAAATGTATAATACAAACCTTGCATTTTATTTCTAACTACTGAGGATACTGCCATCAGCTGCCCATACGCGTAGGAATGACGAGCTAGCAGAGGTAAAGAGATACCAGCGCTAGAATAGTCACAAAACCTCAGGTTTTTGCGCAAGTGGATATCAGAGTCTTTTCTAACTCGATCACGTACTACTTTTCTTTTTTGTTCCCCTATGGGATCGCTGACACCTATTGCACTGGCTGGCAAGTGACTCCTAGGCTGGCCGGGCGTTATTAAAATAAGCGTAGAAGGCCCTGGTGAGGGTTTGGGCCAAGCCGAAACACTGCGCGATTCTGACCAGAGCTTCTCAAGAAAACCAACCGTAGCTGGACAAAGAAGTTTCTGAGATGAGGGATGGAGAGTCCACCAGGAGACAAGGTCAAAAAAGTTCTACTGGTTTGGACTAGCAAAACAGCGCAAGAGGAGACGTGATTATTAATTACTATTATCTACGCTATGGTAGCTGTACAAGGTACCTGGAGCCAGGGCTGCTGAAGGACCCATCAAATGTGAATTCACCCAAAATCAGCAGCTGGAGCCGGCCTCCTCTCCACCTGAGGAAGCCCTGCAGTCCCAGGACACCTCATTACTTTCAAGGGGGAGCTTGGTAAGTGTTTGACAGAGATGTACTGCCTGATTTAATGATCCCATTCCCTTCAGCTCCATATAATGGCCACCACAGCAACTGAGCGGCCCAAAAACATTATTGAGTTTATCATCAAGATGCGTTTTCAGATTAGATGGCCTCATTCTGAGTTTTCAGATGGAAAAATAAGAGACCAAGAAAATGTTAGTTTGGAATACTCAGCCTGAGATCCCTTCATCTGGCTTCAAGAGGCCTGTTTTTATTAGAGAATCACCTCCCGTGACCATAGTCACAGCTTTCAACACTCAACACTTCTCCAGATTTTTCAAATTTCGAGTTGTGAGTGTAGAAAACAAAGAAACTTGTGTAAAGGCACTGTAAGAGACTCTCAGCACAGACAGTTCTCTCTCTCAACAAAGCATGTATTCAGCCTCGAAGTCCTGGTTACTCAAGGCTCCATGAGGCAAAGCTCTGATACGGACCGATACGAGCTATACCAACACAGTCCTTGGGACTGGATGGCAATTTAACGTTCATTTGGAGGGCCGTGATTCTGTGCTCTTAACTTCTGAAACCAGGTGTTTGTAGAGACTGGGTTAAATTGTTTTTTTACAGGGAAACAGTCATGTAAACACATCAGCTTTGATTCCCCAGCAGTTTTAGAAAACTTTGACCCAAAAGTTACCTTTGTGCTATCAGACTCTATGTATCCTCCATTCATTTCAGTAACAGGTAGGAGACGAAGCGCTTACTTTGGTCAGGGAAAAATCAGATATTGCGGACCCGTCTCTTCCTGAGGGGAACATACCTTCTCTTCTACCAGGAGAGAGTCTCCTGTAGATTTGCAATATTTTTGTTCCCATTTCTATCCTCTGCACTCTCATCTCCATCTCATCACCGGTAGCTCCTCATGCCAATTCTTTCCTTCTTTTTTTACTTTATTCCAATTCAAACACTTCCCCAAGTTGATCCCTATTGTCCATACGCTGTTTCCTTCAATTAAAGGAGTAAGAAGGAACAGAAAAAAAGTCACTCTGCTCTTGGGTCTGATTTCTAGAGCCGTAGAGGCTGGGAAGAATAAAGCGGAAGTCTTGAGTCTGCGCCTGCTGTAAAATCCATGAAGCCTTGCAGTAACTTTTCAGAAGTGCTATATGGCTATATGGCCGTTCTGCCAAGTTTCAAACACCCGATCCAAATCCTGGAGAAATTAAATATTAATTAAATGGTAGTAAGGATGTTCTAATTAAGGTAAATACAGAACAATTCATTAAAAATTATTTTTTAAAAAAGATAAAAATGTGATCTTTATTTCATTGAGATTTTTTTTGCTACAATTCTTCCTAACACAAAATTTGCTTATCCAAAATTAGAACAACTGCAAAGCCTCCTAATGGAAAAGGTAAAGTAGCCTAAACTATAGGTGCTGTTACCCGCTTGCCCTTTGTGAATTCAGATAGAACACAACTTAATAAAGTGAGCAGCTGTTGGATGGAAAAGGGATCACCTGTATCACCTAAATAATTTATGACTCCCTAGATTTGTTTGGGAACTTTTTTCCTTAGCAGAAATGAAACTGAGACCCAGCACTCTGAAATCTTTATAAAGTGTCTTGTCAACTGCCTCCATTTTTTGTATTTATAGATGCACATAAAGCTGGTGTCTGTGAAGCTCCTTTGCTAAGAAAAAGCACAATTATAATGCTTTTTACTGTGTTTTCATCAAAATAACCAAAGAATAATCTCATTCATACCACTATACCTTGTGAATCTTGTATTACTGTTTCATTGTTGGCTGGCTGCATGACCTCATTAGTCATTAATTTCCACTCTCCTGACCTTCATGTAGCCAGCCAGGTGGGCAGTGGGCAGTATAGGAACAATACCCTGATGTGAGGGCAGCAGAATATAGATGCACTGAAAGCGCAGAACCACGCTTACAGCGTGTGCTAAAATGTGGAGACGGCACATTTCTCTGGTTATTTAGAAAAAGAATATAACTGAAATAAGTAGATGTTCTTGCACTTGTCATTGAGAAGCACTCTGCATTTATTTGGCACTTAGAACAGTAGCAGCAGCAGCAGCATTGCCCTTGGTGCTGATTTCTTACTACTCTAAAATGTCTCCTCTGAGCCAGAATACACTGGCTGTTGCTGATCATGCTGTGAGACACCTGCACTGGCTACTAGGCTTGTCATGACGCACAAAACCCTACCATCTTCAGCTTGACATTGTGCAAGTTATAATTATTCATCCAAATGAATATGTCAGAGCAGCAGCAGCAGACCTCTCATCAGAGCAAAAGAAAAATACATCAAAACATTATCAACCCAGCAGGAAGACAGGGACCATAAGGAAAATTACCCATTTTTAATATGGATGCCATAAAGCCATGTCTATTATTATACGGAGAGGGAAAAAAAAAAAAAAAGAAAAAACCAGCCACCCAACAACCCCTCAAGTTTAAAGTCCATGAGCACTGAAAAGAACCTGAAATAGGCAACAGCACACACAGAGGGGTGGCAAAAGAAAATCAATTACCTGAAATCTGTTTTCCTTCACAGGAGTTTATATTCTGTAGTGCAATTGCATAATTTCAGTTAAGCTTTGTCAGTTTTTACCTTAAAGATGACCAACAACTATTAAAATTTAAGACCTATCAGTATCAAAACTTCATGTTATTTTACTAGAAAATAGGTATAGTGTGTTCTTTTTCCCTTTTAGGAACCAAAATTTTCAACCACTTGAGGACCTGCGAAATTCTGCTACCAGAGGTGTTTCAGTGTTATCTAAGCTTAACCCTTATTTTACCAGGGCTGCAATGATTTCCATGTATTTTGAAAATAAACACAATCTACACGATTACTACACATTTTTTTTTTTCCCCAGAAGTGTTACGTTCACGTCACCCACACAGATAAGGTCAATTTTCAAAAAAGACTGCACAACTAAAGCATTTCTGTCAGCACGATGCACAGGTTGCTGGTATTTGGTTCAGTATTACAGCAGGCTATCTGCAGCTAGAATCAGTACCTTACGATTTCAAAACAGGGTCTCCAGTTACATACAAACATCTATTGTTCATGTTTTCAAGGAGTCCATAGGTAATTCTAACTGTAAAAAGATTTTAAGATCTCAAGCATTAGCATGTCGCATTTTTAACACTGGATTTTTACTTGGTTGTAATGTCAATATTAATATATTCGCTCCCATCTTTAACTTGTGAAAGAAGGTTGCTTCATATCATGTTTTTCAAGACCATTTTATTAAAACTTAAGTCCAGCTAGTAGCTTTAAAATTTCTAACAGTAAACACAGAGAAGCAACGACTAGCAAGGATATTTGAAATGTTGTTAATTTGAGGCAACATAAATTGCAAGTCTGTAAAATTAATAAAATACTATTAAAAGTATGCATAAAATTCGAGGTTAGAAACAGTACTCAAAATCCTGCCTGTGGTATATGGAATCCAGTATAATTTAAGGGAAAAACAATATCTGTTTAAATTGTTGCAAACCATACCAGAGAATCAAAACCTAAAATTACATGTGAAACTAAATATATTTTTCATTTGCAATGGTCCGTTCTTGCAGTTATTTCCTCAAGCTCGCATATTAGAGGATCTGAGGTGACACACAGAACCTTGAGCTTTGCAGTCAAAATTATATGCCCATCTTCAAATCATTCTGATGCAACCTTTCAGCCATGTTCCCTATGTAAATTTAGTACCATAAAGACAGGCTTTATTGATGGCTAGAAACCCTCGTGAGAGTTAGAATTATGAAATGCAACCATTTATGTAAAATCTGTTTTCCTGAATTAAATGAAATTAAACATCAACTATTTTCTAGAGATAATTCAAATTAACTTCCATCTAAGTGGTCACATTTACATCCATTTAATCAAGTATACATGCTCTATTAAGGAAAAAAGATAGATGAATTAACGCAAGAGAGACTAAAAAAAGGCAATGGCTCTTGGTTCTTTATATTAACAATATCAGTTAAACTATGAAATCAGAATTCTAGCAAGTACTTTCCTGTTGTTCTTTTGATTGTAACTGAAAAAGTTTTCTTATGTTATGAAAACTATACAGGATAACAAACTGGGGGACTGCCTTTTTTTAATGTCTGTCAGCTTTTGACGGTGCTTCTTTTCCGTAAGACGATCGTTTCTTGCGCATATATTTTCCCAATATCATTCCTAAAGATATTTCAGCCGTATGAACAACTTAAGAACAAACAGCCAGTATGAGTGCAAAGCATACAACATGCAATATGGCAAGGGAACTATTTAAAACACTATCACAAGGAATATGGAGTTCAGTATTATTACATTTACATAAGCATGTATAAAAGTAAAATGCACACAGGGAAAAAAAATGGAGTGAAAAAATAAAGTCCAATCCGTCATTACCACCTACGTATTGCATATGTATCTCGGTTATTAAAAAAAGATGCATAGTACAGCAGTTTACCTGTGGCATCCAAGAAACAGCAAACCGAACAGGAAAATCCACAAGGCAATCCGGTGGTTCTGTTGGATACTGAGGGAGAGAAAGAAAATACAGTTTTTCTTTTCTTTTCTTTTTTTTTTTTTTTTTTATTCCAAGTGATTTAAAGTCAGACTGATACTCAGCTGCCAAATTTGATAACGAAATATGAGCACTTCAAGCATCTTGAGAACTTGGCTCTAAGAGGAAACAGTATGTAAAGCATTTTCAGAAATAGTTATGAATGTTAATTATCATTTAAAGAAGAAATCTACATGTAAACAGTTTTTATATACCAGTTTTTAGTAAAGGCAGGAGAATCAGAGTTTTCTGTGTTCAGTGTTCACAAACACATGTTAAAAAAGAACTTAAGACCAAAACATCAAATACTTAAAAAAATTTCTCCTCAATTACCTGCACTGGATAAGAAACTCAAAAAAAAAAACAAACCAACCAAAAAAAACCTACCACCAACCCTTTCACAAGTCAAGAAATAATTTTCATTTAAAGTAGAATATTTGCTCTGATTGGCAACGCTTTTTGTTTTGAAACTGAAAGTTATCAGAGGAGGTACATCACTATTTAGAGAGATGAATGAACATACACCCCAAATTAAAACAACTCCCTGTCCCCCACCCCAAATTAAAAGGTATCAATGAGGAAAAGAAAAAATAGCTGTATTAAGAAAACTGAAGCTAGAAAAGGTTTGATAACTCCAAAAATAACCACTGACTATTCATTACAGTAATAAACCTATTGCTGTTCAGCATCCAATAGGAAATCTGTGGGAAAAAAACCCCGATACTGTCTGAAAAAGTAGCAGAGGAAAGAAACATCTAATTACAAATAAACCTTGTCCTTTCTAAGAGCACCTATCCAAAATTTTATTCACCTGAGAAGCTGCCTCCTTCAGTCCTATGCAACCTTTCAAATTCTACCAATGACGTACACAGCAGTTTTCTAGAAATCGCATTAGTATTGCATCAACTGCCAACACCAGAAGATGTGACAGAGAATCTTGTTTGGGGAGACACAGGAAAAAAAAGCCCCAGTTTCCTCACAGAATTAAAGGGAGTTAAGACGAAGAGGCAAAGTTTAGCTGTGCTGCTTCCCATAACCACTCTCCATCCAAAGCAAACCTCCAGACATAGACACTGTTCTTATTTATCAGACATGGGGCAATCAACTTATCAGAATTTTTTAAATGTGTCTCTATTTTATGTAAAATATAATTCTACAGTAATTAGTTTCCAGTTGTTCTCTATGGCAAAGAGCAAAAAAGAGACAGCTTCCCTAGAGCATTTCTTCATTGCTTTCATTTTAATAATAATCTAGTGGATTTATGGATTTCACAGAAATTTGTTTAAACTTGCTTTTTAATTTGCCTTCATGTGTGCTTTCTGTTCAGTATCCACCTCCTGAAGACAAACTCCTACAACTTGAATATCTTGTGCTTTACCATTTTATCAAAGTGGCAGCAGACAGGTTAAACAACAGTGACAGAGCAAGAGAAGCGAAACAACTGATTTGGACAGGAGGCGGTTACAACTTAGAAATGTATATCCACAAAAGCTGTTACAGTTTCTTTTAGTGTAGTGTTACCGTTCTTGTATTGCAGACAGTGTACTGTTAGTGTTTTTCTATTGTAGGTATTATTTTTCATGAAATACTTCAATGCTTGCATAGAAATAAACTTGTTTTCAACGTATAAAACAATGCCTAGAACAGACTAAGTCACAGCAATTTTTCTGTAGGATTGGTTTTAGGACTCCCTCATTTAAATCCCAGCAGCACTAGCCAATTATGTGTTTATTTTCTTGGTAAGTAAATTCATTTTATGCAGTCTTTTGTAGGGTGCCTTTGAACAAGTGCTTGCAAACAGATTCTACTAACTTTATATTACTTAAAAAAACCAAAACAAACCAAAAAACCTACAGCACTTTTTCCCTGCGTTTTTAGTCAAATTTTCTTTGAGAGCACAATATTGTACTCTGCACCAGATAATTGCCAAGGAGTATGCAACAGTGATTCTGTACGTATGTACATGATGTTTTTAGACCTTGCAGAGCGAAATGCTATGTAAAATAAGCTGAGTGATTCCCCAGGAGATAGTATTTTAAAATACTATACCAGAGCATATCAATGACAGCATATGTTATTACAGTTACATTCAAATGTATATGTCAGAAATCATCCTATTATTCCTTAGAACAATTTAAGCAATTATTAAACAAAATATTTATGTTGTATTTTTGGGCATGCAGCTAACTATCTAGAAAAAGTATTTTCATAACCCTTGCCAAATCATTCAGATAATTACCAAAGCATCTTGATTACTACACGGCATGCAAATTCTTGCAGTGGTCTATTTGAATTCTTGGGATCTGAAATGGCCAGCACCCAACCTACTTCTCATGCAATACAAAATGAAATCTAATAAATAAAACCCAAGGTATTTGGTTTTATACTTGCAAAGATGCATGCTTTGTTTTCAGGAAACTTCTCTAGTCATTTATTTAAATTGTGAATGGATAAAGATTTCTGGAACAGCCATTTTCATCAAAATAAATCAGAAAACTCTTTCACAAAATGTAATCTGAGCCTTAAACAATATATCCTCTTCTAAAGGTTTAAGCCTCATCATTTACAAAAAACAAAATTGTGTAGCACATGATTTGGCTAACATACCTAACGACAATATGACCATTCCCAATTCTTCCAGGTTTAAGGCGATTGCCCCAAGTTTCCCAGACACTGTACAAATGCAGTTCATAGAGAGCGAGTGCTTTGAAAGGACAGTTCCTAACACGAAGCACATTAAGGCAAGGATAACAGGTGGAAACATTTGACAACGGATTACGGAAAAGTCCTCAAAACACATCCAAACCGTTAAGAATTACAGCAAAGGAATTTAGGGGATTATCTCAATACACGATAACCTTATGAAAAAGAATTTCCTAAATCACTTATTGAAGAGTTTCTTCCTGAAAACATTGTCGACAGGCTTATAAACTCATTTCACTGTATGGCATCCATGAGGACAAGGCTGAACAAACCCATCTGCCAGAATACAGACAAGAGCCAGCAATATATGCTAGGGAGGAGAGGTTTGGCTCACGTACTAACCTTAATCAAAGAAACAGCATAACAAAAATAAGCATACTTTTATTAAAGCAGGTTATTAAAAGAAATCCCTTCAAAAAATACTTCAGCAAAGCCTTTTCAAAGGTATTAGATATGTATATGAAGGAAAATCAAATCCCCATGTCACCAAAACCACGTTTCACATATAAATTTTCTCTTGTGGCAAGTTTAAATGCCAGACATGGTTTAAAAAGGACAAGCAATTGATCCTTCATCATAACAATCACTTGAAAAAAAGAAAAAAAAAAAATTGATGATTACTTGTTACAACAGACAAGTTGGATAATCTAGTCTCTTTATTACACTATATCCTTAGTTGTTAGACGATGCTTTCTTCTGCTATTTAAGGGTCTCAACTTCAGATATTTTCTTACTATAAAGAAAATACACAAGTTTTTACAAGAACAGAAAACGGTAATCTCACTTCCCCTTACAGTACAGCGACAAGTTAAGGCTAAACAGAACCAGCCAATGCATAAGCGTAACAGCGTTTGACCACGGCAGCTGCTTGGTAAAAATGGGTATTGCACTGTATGTTTTTTCTGCACTTTTATACTTCCAAAGAGTTAAAAATACTTCAGCCACCACAAAATCAAGAAAAAACTTAGAGGCAACAGGCTGCACTTCATTTCTACTGTCATACTAAGTATGGGATAGCAGCTCCTTTATAAACAATGACAATACAGGCTGGTTACTCTCCCCGCCAGCTAAATAGACCATAATTGTACTTCCTGATGTATTTTTTCCATTCATGTATTTAATAACGGACTGACTAGCAAATTAATTATGTATTCATTACTCTGTGCATGTAGGATAGTTTTACTCTTTTTTTTTTTTTTTAAATCCACTTTACCAACCTCAATTCCCAAACAGTACTTTTTCCACAGGCTCTTTTTTCCCCCTCTAAGGCAAAATAAGCTTGTCTCTGTAAAACTAAAAAAAACTCCTGGTGTTTAAAGGAATATAGGATGTCTGTGAAGGTGAAACTTAATCTTACAATACCGTGCCTGCTCCTCATCCCTTCAAGGTTATTACTCCAGATGATGGACCAAGGATAGTCCCAAACAACAACCTTTAGACAGTTTTGGATCCGCTTTTTCCCCTAGACTGGTTTTCTGAAGACAACAGCCATTACCATACAATTGTCACCATACAGCCTGGATATTCATTGTTTCTGATAAGAGATTTATGTCTTGAAATGAGAAATTCTATGAAGAATGAGTTCGGTTCTAAGTACCAGGAAGAATTAAAATTTGTCTGCTTCCACACACGCCATGAATTTGCTTTGCAAGCGCTGTCAAAATCAGCCAATTATTTAGACTAAAAAGAAATATTTTTAACATAAGGAACTCACTTCTGTAGTCCGTTTTTCAGAAATCTTTATATCTATAGCTTTAACAGTAAGACTTGCTAAAGAAGCAACCCAACATCCTCTAATTCTTGTTATATGCATAGTCTCTGGATGGAATGATAATGAATGAAAGTCTCCCAGACGGCTTTGTCTGGAATCCAGTAAAACAATTGCAATATCATAAAGTAGTTTTCATGTGATGCACAGTTTCACATGAAAAGATTCTTACAGATAATGATAATGTAATATTAAATACAGTTCAAGTTTGAAAACTCTACTTTGTATTAAAAAATTTCTCAAAAAAACCCCACTGTTATCTCGCAGAACAGACATACTAACAAACAAACCAACTCCCTAAAATCTTTATGAATTAAGAAAAATCCATTTATTTCAAGGAAGCCTTAAAATATGTTCTCCCACATAAATTCACCTTTGCATTTAACTTCAGAGTGATGAGATGCTGTCGACCACAAGAATCTTCAGCTTTTAGCTTGATTGTGGTAAGAGCGGTATCCACGTGTGCGACTCTGAAAGAGAGAAGAAAACTCTTAACAGCATTGCAAGAAGTTTGAAATGTCTGCAATACTCTTATTAGTCTGTTACAAATATTGAGCAGAGGAAGTCCTATACGCCAACCGTTTCTGCCGTTCTAGATTTACTGCTGTTAATACACCAGTCTGCTGCTTAATGCAGTCATATATCTTTGGGTTATTTACAATGTGTGTCAAGGCTCATGCTGTGGTCAGTGAGCACTGTGTTTCAGTTTTCCATCACGGGAACCTTTGACACACACAGCATGTTCCTGTCAGCCTCTACTTATGTACACATTAAACTTCCTGTCAAATCTTTGATCCATTTCTGCAGTTTCTTACTGTATGAGACTTTTATGCTCTTGATTTGCTTTTCTCTTCAATGAAGTTCTCTTTTATTATCAGTACTATTATTGTGGAAAATTCAGGGGATATTGGTTCATATTCTGAAATTGATTTTCTGCAGAAAGCAGTACCCAAACAGGTACAAAATGAGTTATTTATGATGATTTGCCTTTGTTTCATGACAGTTTTACACAGTATACATGCACCCAAACAAGTAGCAAGTACATACTAAATGTAAATAAGTTTTAAAACTTCTGACATAATCAGTGACTCTTTGCTTAAGATGTCACTGAGTTGTGCTTCCCACAACAATGAAGACGAATACAATTGTAAAATACATTGTTCTCTAGAAATACGTTCTGCTGAGTAGCTTCAACAACTGCCAGAAAGGTTCAAACTTCTCCATATATTTACCAGTGAACTGGGCACATGGGTATTTTGGCATTTTTACTATGTCATTCGGGTGCAAAGATAAAAAGCAGTCCAAGATTGTTGTACAACTTACCACCTAGACTGATGGAAAGGCCTATCAGAGTTCAAAGAAAGCATCTCCTTGCTGGCCTAAGTAACTTTTTTTTTTTTTTTAAAACCATTGCATAGTAGCCCAGTCACTTGCGCCAGCATGCTGGGAAAAATGGTTCTCTTTCAAGTAAAACTGGCAACAGAGAAGCCTGTACAAGAAGAAGTGGACATATACCAAAGGGCGTGCACATTCCCGGGAAGGAAGTGAAAAGACAAAAAGAAAATGATCTACATAAATGACGTAGCCTCAGTATGAGGGAACTGGAAAATACAGATGGAAAAAGCAGTAGTGGTATTAAGTAGGGAATTTTAATACAATATTAAATAGTCCTACAGCTGCCTGGGAGTATGTTCACACTCCTTTTCTCCACAACAGTTGAAAGAATACAAGTCTTGATAAAAGTGTAACTCAACTGTAGTCAATTAAACTCAATTTATTTAGAAAGAACTAGAGCATTCTTCCTCTAATTGGAAAAAAATCATTACTCCCACTTTGTTCCAACTTTACCTCAAAATTATATCGCAAGGTTTTATAAAGATAAGAAACTACCTATAACCCACCCCTCCATCTACTGTTGCCTGGGGTGGGGAAATCCTAAACCAGCAGCTAAGGCACAGAATGGTTACTGCAATAAAATATACAGCAGTGTCCAAAACAAAGTACAACCGGTGCCTTCATCAATGCACTGTGAGGTTAGATAGCAAAAGAGAACGGAAAAATTAAAGGGATGCTGTCAAGGTGTTCACGATTTAAAATTATCTGTTCTGACAGTCATCTTGTTTGGACCACTTCAGTCTTGAAATGCCAGACAGGTATGGATTTTTTTAGTTCAAAATCAAACATTTTTGCAATTCCTTACTCTATATTGGGTGGGAGAGAACGAGATTAAAAAATTATTTTTATTTCTTAGATAGCAATGGACGTACATATCTTAAAATCTATTTCTGAAATCCTTAAGGGTTCGGTACTTTTGCAATTAGTTTAACAATCTGACAGCCTCTAAAATAAACATATATACATATGTGCACCCATTTATATATTTAAAATATAAATATACGCACATCATTATATTAAAAATATAGTGACAATATGGTTATGTTCAATCATATTTGTAAAGAACCTTCACATTCAGTTTTATTGACAGTGTAAATTAGACAAACTTTTTTAAAAAAAACCAACCATTTGGGAAAGGTGCTAAGAACACCAATATTGGCTACCTGTTTAATTAGGTATAGAGGGATACATCATAAAATGATTGTCAAGTTCTGTCCGTTATTTAATTTTTAACATATTTTTAGTTTTAGAATTCAGTTAAAGTATGTTTTAAAACCAGTTTAAAATGTGATTTTCACTGAGCTTGGAGATAAGAGGAAAAAAAACTATAATAAAATGTAGATCTTCACCGCTATGAAGCACCACTACAATCCAGAGCAATCTGGAAATTATTAAGTCTTATGATTTTTATTTAATTTTGACTTCCACAACTAGCCGCTAGCAGAAGACAACTATTCAACCTAAGCAACACAACACCTTTTAAGTATTATTCATTACAAACCATAGAGGTTTTCTAGTAAAAATTTTCTCTTCCCTTCCAACTTTTTCACAAACAGGAGCACCAAGGAATAAAAAACTCCTCAGACAAGGGGCACACAGGGTTGAAGAATGCCCAGAATGAAAATCCATAGCTAGCCTTCCTTCTTCTCAACAGAATGTATAAACAGTAAACTGCCTCTGGAGAATGAAGGAGGATTCCATTTTCCATGCCAGATCGAAAAAAGGAACTCCGTAGCTTTGTGGCTACTGCCTGTTCTGTAACATCGCTCTACCATTCTTTGGATAAGAAGAGATGACAGGGTCAGTTTCTAGGACTGGAGAAAGTTGGACAACACTGTAAAAGTCACATGAACTTCTTCATATGATTGTGTAATCAAATAAGGAATTGTTTACATAGGTGATATTTCAGTTATATAAACCTTTATTCCTCTGTAGGCTCCGTCATTTTATCACACAGAAAAAAAGGGAATGACCATCAAGATGGAAAGCCTCAGTTAAATCTCTGCAGTACTGTAATTCAGCATAACACACAAATGATTGAGAGCACACGACAAAGCAGGATTCCCTTGGAAATGGGGAAGGCAACAGAAGATACTTTCTATGAAGAAACTTGGCAAGTATCAAGCAGAAATGCACTGACACTTCAGAGATCATGACTCACACCATGGACTTAGGAGATACTAGCAACCTTTATGAATCCACATGAGGGTGATAAGAGTCCTACAACTGTTTTATAGTCGATAATTTAGCTTCCCAAGACATTGTCATTGAATCAACTTGCCAGATTATGAGATAGTATTAGAAGAGCCTTTCCTATAGCTTACTACTAGTACATGTGTACTCTCTCCCACCTCAGCTGATCAGATTTGTGCTGGTATTTTTCCATGTTCATAAAACGACTGAAGTATCCTCCTGTGAGCTCCTCACCTGTTAGGACAGCACTTAGTGTTAAAAAACTGGTACAATTTTATAACGTTTGAACTGTGACTTTTGTGTACAAGTATTTGGATATGAAAGCATATTCACCCTCCCTAAATTAGGTCAAAGAATCAAGTTTTCTGGGTCACAGAGAAAGTGATTATATCTAATCACAGCAGCCTGCCCATTTGCAATCCTCATAACTGTTTGTACCTTCAGTGGTTTAGGAGGAAAGAGGTATAAGATCATTGCAGATAATGTCTTCAATTTGCTTCTGAGAAACTTCACATACCCCTTAGATAAAAGCCATTAGAACACACTAAATTCGTGCCGTACCTGAGAGCTTCTTAACTCACTTCAGAGGTAAAGGAGCCATAGCCAATTGCTCGGATTCTCTTTCAAACAAAGTATCCTTCAGTTTTTCAGTTGGATTTGGATGCAGTCAGCTTCCAGCATGACCCAAAACTCACTAGCAAAAGCCAATCTAGGGTCCACAACAAGCCAGTTCTTTTCTAAGAAAAATCCTGATAAATAGGAAAATCCTGAAAAATCCTGATAAAGCTGGAGGCTTCTCAAGGTGTGAGCAGTGATAGATCCTTACTGCCGGTACTAAATGCAGGTTTAGTTTTATGCTGAAAGACCATACCAGGATGTTTTTAACTAACATGCAAATATGTATCACCTGCAACTCAAAATCAGTCTAGGTTAACAGGCCTTCTTAGCAGTTCATTATATTGTTAAAAGCACACTAAAATTAAAGGTGTAACTTACTAACATACTTCAAATCGCCTCTCTAGGTTATTCTCCTTCCAACTCATAGTAAACCAGATATGATCCTGTATGTAAAGCACAGTCCTTTGAGTAATGATTGACTTCCCCAACCAAAAAAACCCAGTCAGATAGAGTCCTTATCTGTAACATAAGTCAATCAAGAGGTGTATGTTTACTGAATTACATGACAACACTGGACAAAAGCACAGCATAAGTTGTGTGTCTAGATGAAGACCATTTTTGCCTAGAAACCAGGTCAAATTCTGCCCTAGAAGCATGCTCTCTGATAAAACACTGATATGCTTTTTAATAATAAACCACTGGATGTTTTGTATGTGCAGCAAGTCAGAAGAAATATCGGTTTTGAGATAAGCTACCAAATTGTATTTTCAAAGTGTATTTTTAGTATATTTAGCTATATACTATATTTATATATCAAATTATAGACATAGTACATTTTCTATATTTATATCTTTAAAGTATATTTATTGTATGTCAGTGTCTGTTTTGCTGGCATGAGCTTTTTGAAGTGGTTTTTGGTTTTGGTCTTTTGTGGTTTTTTTGTTTGGTTTTTTTTTTCATTTTGGGTTGAGCAGGCATGATTCAAAATTTATTTCCCATGTGTTTAGGAAATTTTAACTAATATTCTCAGACCTGAGTCTCAGAAATTTGAATAGAGTATGTCATCAGCTGGCACAGCTACATACTTAATAATGGAAATCACTGAAAACACTTCAGCTGATTTAACAAGGATGTTTTAAATCTTTAAATAAAAGTGGGTCTTCAAAGCAAGTTCCTGCTTAATGTTAATCACATGGTTTATTTATATACAAATCAGGTGAGAAAACTCAGAACTATTCTTAAACCCAAGGCTTCTTTATTTCATTTAGCAAGATAAGCACTTGTTAAAGTTAACTTGCCATCCAAGACTAAGGTAACAGTAGATTTGCCTTGTTGAAAACCACAAATGTTGACTTTTTTTTAACTTTCAACTTTTACCAAAACTAAAAAGTAGCTTCTCATTCAAAACTTCAACATCCTACAAAATCTTTCATCTTAACTCCTTGAAAGGAGGCCCTGTGAGTTTAATTGTATATTATTAGTTAAAGACAGCCTTCAAATATATTTCTTTAATGCCTCCCTGCACAGAAACAACTACCTTCTTCAACCCTATAGAGGTCTCCTGGAGGTTCTAGGGGAAAGGACAGAAATCAGTCCATCCTAGGCTCTCTGCTGGAGGAGTAGAAGACTCAGTATCAGAGAACTTGCCAGCGGTGGCACATGTGATGGCAGTTAAAGCCTTTCAAGTAAAAGTCTGCACAACAGGAAGCTTTGCAGATTTCTGAAAAACTTCTACATGGACCTTGGGTACTTGAGCACAACTGTGTGTTCCTTCAGGTTTCTATAGGAGGCATGAGGAGAACAACCTTGTTTTCCTTTGTAGGAGGATGAAACGAAATTTGCTTTATGAGCTCATTTGAGAGTATATGGGACTGTGAATAATATAATCTGTTTGCACTCATTCAAGACCCTAATGAGAAGGCACCCAGAGGCAGCTATGTGTACATTTCATTCCTCAACAAAGTCAAATATCCTTTCCTAATGTGACATTCTTTCCCATGGTATTAAAGCAAGCATTTTAGTTGGGGTGAAAAAATTCACTTCTAGTTCTCCTTCCCCCAGAAGACGACCTGAACTGTCACTTCTTGTTCCACAGGTACCCAATTTATAGTACAGCATATACATGAAACCATGTCCTTGGGTGCACTGAGCCTCCATCCTCAAGGGACACAGTTCATACTCTCCTGGTGCAATAACCAACCTTTTTCCCCACTTGGAAATGCCCCCTCTGCTCCTCCAAACATGGTCTGCTTGCACAGTTTTTGGAGGCTAAGGAATGCTTTTCAATAGCCCTCATCTCTGCTCAAACCCATCTGGGTAGCAAAAAACATATATAAGTTTCTCTGTGGGTGTCGCAAAGAGCTGGCTGTTTTGAAGTTCTGGATTTACAGCTTTCCAAATTCTCCCCTCTACTGACATTTTGGGGGGCGGGATTTACCTTTTTGTGGATTAACTATGTTATTCCTTTGTCTAAGGAGATCCTTGTGCTATGGAAAGCAAGATAGAACTGTTCTTTAAAAATAGTTCTAAAAAATGGAAGAACTGTTTTTATGAAAGCATAAAGGTACACGATGATCAACCATAGCATATGGGAATAGTCAAAAAAAGATGTACAAAGTAGGGAAAAAAAGGAAGAAAAAGGAGAACTATAAAAGCTGTATTAAATACGTTTACTATGCCAATAGTTTATAGGCCAAAGAAGAATTGATTTCTTAGTAGTAGCATCTCACCTTTTAGCTCAGTTATTTGAGACTGAAAATATACCTTCAGAGTTAATACAGGTTTGTTGTTTGGTTTTGTGGTTTGTTTCTTCATTTGTTTGTTTTGTTTTGTTTGTTTGTTTTAATTAAAAACAAAACAACAGAATTTTTAAAGCAAAACCAGTTTCTGAACAGGATAAATTAACAGAACAAGTACATTTGATACGTTCCACTCAGAAATACAAAAGAAGAACAGATACTCTAAAGATAACGTCTGTTAAGAAATAGAACAAACATACTTATTCCAACCCAATATTTCTAGATCTCTGACAAGGCAGGAGTAGTATTCTGGCGGTCGCGGTATATGCAGGTCTTGTGTATTCTTTAAAGCAATTTCCTGTTTAAAAGAACATTAAAAACATCATTAAGAGAGATTTCAATATTTTTGCATCTATTTAGTCATGTGATTTTTGCAATTCATTCAAAAATACTAAGCCTATGTAAAATTAACTGTACACTGCATTTGTTTTGTTATAGCCTCCAGCTAAAGCAGACAAAGAAGCTGTTTGGTAAATTACTTCAGATACTGGTAATGAAAACATCTGCAATTTAAAAAAACCCCACAGATGTTGACAAAATAGTCTTCGGATGCAAATATCAATTGTGCCTCTTTTTCAGCTAATAAATTTGAAGTCAAGCATCTTGACTGAAAGAACATTTCAAAAGAAGGTTCTATTAAGCCCACAGCTGTCTCCTGGGTTCCCCAGCCACAAAAGACTACACATGTATGAAATCCCCTGTATTATTTTTAAGTAGCTATATACAACTTTAAATAGCAATAAAAAATAAAAAAATCAGTTTCTCAGTTTTAACATCATAAGGTCCCAAAGAATAAGTTTTGGTCCAGATACTCATCAAGTATGTCATAATGCCTCAAAAAGAAGTTTTTATCAAAAAGGTGATGCCACGTTACAGAGAAAAACAAAACCAAACCGTATGTTCCACATTTGTGTTATGCTACTTGTTCTTTAAAGCTGTACTTAAGTTAAAATTATGCTTACAGGACAAATAAATAAAGAAATTTATAATAAAATTATTATTAATTTAAAATAAATTTAAATAAAAGAAATAATATAATAATTATTAATAAAAATCAGTATAACAATCATTTCTGCCCACTTCTCCGGCAGTGTCTTCTGTTGTTTTTACTATCTGCACTGAGGATCACTATTTTATTATTTTGAATGAATTATACTTTCATTACATTCTCATCTTCTGAGTGCTTGTGTATCCAGGCAAATAGATTGGAGTAACTATTGTGAAATATTCCAAAATAGCCACATGTAGACATTCAGTCCTATTCCAAGCACCTTTTCCTGGTTTAGTGTAATCCAGTTTGGCAGGGATTGAACCAATACCGAGGAAAGGCATTCCCGGCATAGACCAGCAGTATAATACCAGGAGGGTATTTTTGTAGTTGTTTTGAAGAATACTTACCTTGGTTTATTTCTAAGTCAAGTAGGTTGTACACAAGTATTCTTTGCCAAGAATGCTCATTCAATAATGTTTTAGTAACAGACAAGAAATTGTCAGTTTCATGTTGTTAACTAAAGACTTTGCTACTCTTCAATCCCAGACCAGAAAAACTTAAAAAACAAACAAACAAACAAAAAAACCCCCAAACAGCAGTCTCTGAACTATGAAAAAAAGCTTTCTGCATTTATTGGTCGAGCTGTCACACAGGTGAAAGCACCTTCAGCAATCCACTGACTGTATAATCCTTTGTATGACTATAATCCTTCTTTACCATCTGGACAATACCAGGAATTCCAAGAAAATCGTTGTAAAGAGGACAGCGCTACACTGAGAACCCTTGCCGGGATTTTAATTTTTCTGCAACACTCCAATTTCCAAAGAGTACATTCACTTACTTAAAATCCTAAAGGATATTTATACAAATATTACATCAACAGCATACATACAAAATCACCTCTTCTTAAAAAAAAAACCCAAACATAAATCCATCTATCAAACAGTAAACTGTAAAAAACCGAAAGCGAAAACCAAAGCTATAAGAACATCCCATCTCCCACATATATATTCTGTCACTTACCAAAATAGTTTTCAGCTCCACCATAAAACTGACAAGATCTGGACAGCTATGCAACCTCTGGAGAGAATGCAGTATCAGTTCATTTTCTTCAACTCATAACTTTTAGTGGTAAACAATTTCAGTTTAACTATCTATTTTTCTAGTATTGTCAAACCAACTAACATAAAAAACCCCAACCATATACCACGTGTTTAAATATTTCAATTACAGAACAAACCTCCCAGAGCACAGGGAACTACTGAAAATTAACCGTCACCTTCGTCACATCATGTCACATTACCCTTTTATATATTTATGAAGACTTTACACTTCATGTGTTTATGAAGACATTTATGAAGACTTTAGTCTTCACCAATGAGAACAGAAGCTTTAGAATCACTCAAAAATGTTTCTTAGTTGGTTACATTTTCTTTAGGAACTCTCCAGACTCGCCTGCTTTTAGATGCTGTGCATGATTAAGGATCCCTGTGTATCTTCAGCTGTGGCATGTATTTACTCTTCAGTTTCCTCGGCTCTGTATCTTTGGTTATTCCTAGCTCACAACCCTTGTTCTACAAAGGGGTACGCAGTCCATGAGATACAGTGTCCTAACTAGCACATGTGGCAAAGATGCCTTCTCAGAAATGAAATATTGTTCATGACTGCAAAGCTGTTGTATCCTTGTTCCAAAGCTGCTTCTGGATAGGAAGGTTTAACTTAGATTCCTTGACTGTCTACAACACAGAATGAGCTAGATCTATCAATAATTAATGTGAATCCTCTTCTTTGCATTATGAACAGTTTGTAAAAAAAAAAAATATATAAAAAAGGAAAAACAAACTCTGTTTCTAATCGAGACATTAAAGAAAAATTCCAGTGAAATGTCAGCAGCCATTTATCAAAAATCATTCTATCTCAATCTTCAAAAAATAAAGCTTGAATAAAAATAAGTATTTACTAAATTCTATCCATCTCTCTTTAGATTGACCTGCAAATCCTCAAGCATTTCAAAATAAAACTTGGCTATAGAATGAAAGGAGAGTTCTTTAACACTTTTAGAATAGATGCGCGAGTATAAACTTTTCAGAATTATTATAAGCATACATTTAACAGAAATGGTTTTAGAAGCTGTATACCTGCTTTAAAATATGCCGATATCCATGCAGTATCTTCTTTAGGTGCCAGCTACACTCTATCCTAGACAAACAGTATTTTGTATGAATTTTAAATTCACCGTACATGATTTTTAGAAGAGATCAGAAAGTCTGCTACACAACAACATAAAAGTTGTTCTTCAAAAAACCAAAGGAAGTAAACAATACTTCAAAATTTCTTTGAGTTTTCATATTCAAAGTTATTTAAAACTTTCAAATGTCACTATCCCAAAGCCTATTAAAAATTAAGCATTTACCTACGAAAGCCTCTGTTCTTTGCTGAAAACAACAACATAATTCTTGCAGGCTAATATGACTTCATAAAATATACCAATATTTAAAAATGATATCCCGAAAATGTCAAAGTTACCTACAATGCGTATCCAACCTAGAATGTAATAAAGCTATCGACTACATCTGTTCACAGTTCAGAGCAGGCTGGCCTAGGCAGAAGTATGGAATACAATGTTAAAGACTAATCCCTGCACGTGTGCACACACACAATTCACACACACATACTACTATGATAAACACAGTAATAAGAACAGAGCTTTTAAAGAAAAGTTGGGCAATGCAAATTAATACGTATGAGCAGGAAAGAGAAAAATGATGGTTAGCACAGCTTTTTTAACTTCAAGTACATAACTGCTTAAATTTACAACTTTGCACTGAATTTTCTGTTTCCCAAATGGTACTATATAAATAATCCGATTTAAATGAACATTTTTTTCCAAGTACACTGATGTATATATAAGTACAACCAATTAATTACAACAGGTTTCAAAGTTAATTAACAACAAAATATTTTGATATAGGCAATGTTTATTGTCAGTGTTTATTAACACTGATGCTGTACAATTTTGTCGCAAGGTTAAGTTGAAACCAATAAGAATTAATTACCAACACTGATGTTGGGAAAAAATAACAACTCATATGCATATCCATCATTGCTTTTATCAAAATAAACTTTTGTTACATACATTTACAAACTGCTTTCATAAAACTATCTTACCTTGCATTTTTCAGTTGCAAATCCATTGGTAACAGTATCCTGATATGGAAGTCTCTACCCTTGAAAATAAACATTTAGTTAATAGGAAGGTCGGCAAAGAAAAATAGTTAGACACTTGTAGGAAGCATTCCACATAAGATCAGCTGCTAAGAAAGAAAGTTTATCTTATCTGACTGTCAGGAATATTTTTCAGAATTTCTTTATTTAGGAAAAAAAAGCTGCATGAGTAACATGTACAAATAATGCCGATTTTAATTCTGAAGTTGAAATACTGTTGACCTCTAACTCGCCGTATTCAGTAAAAACTCTTCAGTGCATCACATTTCATAAAGCAAAAATAACACCTTTTACAAGAAAAAGAAACATTATACAAATCTGGACAAACCCAATAAATATAATTTAATCCAAGTCATGCTGAAGTACATAAAAGTCTGTCTTCAACTCAAGTAAAAGTCAAAACAGACTCTTACCATAAAAGTACTACACTAAGAAGGAACTTGGGCACTGATCCACAACACATTTCAGCAAGGTTTTAGAAACTGTAAACAAAAACAGTCCCAAGTATAGGAATGTAATTTTTTTTCCTGTTAGTGCAATCCACATGGGGCAGTTCCTAAATGCCACCTGCTTGCATTTTCAGTAATTGTCCTGATTTGTGATCCTCCCTCTGATTTCTTATGGGATGATCAAAACAAAACTGAAATAAAGAAGGTTTGTGAGTAGGTTTAACTCCTCCCTGAAGCGAAGAGGGCAGCTAACTCATCTCAAAACTTTTATTCCAGACTCTGCTCCAGCTCAGCATACCTTGAATTATGTCCACAAATTTGAGATTTCTTCAGCAGGTTCCTCCTGTGATTAGATGACCGATACAGTGGATGCTTTATGTCCATTTCAGAAAGGCTTTTAATATAGTTTCCCATAACATCCTCATAGACAAACTGAAGAATGATGAACTAGAAAAGCTGACAGTGGACTGAAAACTTGCAGAACTGCTGGGCTGATAGGGTTGTGATCAGCAGGACAAAGTCCAGCTGGAGGCCCCTGAGTACTGGTGCATGCCAGGGGTCAGTCCTGGGGCCAGCGCTATTTGACCTTCATTAGTGACCTGGATGATGGGACAGGATGCACCCTCACTCAGCAAGTTGGCAGAGGATACAAAACTGGGAGGAGTGGTTGATAGACCCTGTGATTGTGCTGCCATTCAGAGGGACCTCAACAGGCTGAGGAAATGGGCTGACAGGAACCTCATGAACTTAAGAAAGGAAAGCACAAAGTCCTGCACTGGGAGAAGATTCACCCCATGCATCAGCATACACTGGTGGCTGACCAGCTAGAGAGCAACTCTGCAGAAAAGGACCTGGTGGTCCTCGTGGACACGAAGTTGATCCTGAGCCAGCAATGTGCCCTTGCAGCAAAGAAGGCCAACAGCCTCGTGTGCTGGATCAGGCAGAGCCTTTCCAACAGGTTGAGGGGGGTGATCCTTCCCCTCTGGTCAGCACTGGTGAGGCACACCTGGAGTACTGGGTCCTCAGTACAAGGAAGGCATGGACATACTGGAGTTAGTCCAGTGAAGAGCTATGAAGGTGATTAACAGCTTGAGGCATGTCTCATGTGAGGAGAGACCGAGGGAGCTGGGACTGGTTAGGCTGGAGAAAAGAAGGCTCGGGGGGGGATCTTGCCAGCATGTACAAATACCTGATGGAGGAGGACTAAAGGTGTAGCCAGACTGAGTGACACACACTGACAGGATAAGAGGCAATGGGTACAAGTTGAAATACAGGAAATTTCACCTAAATGCAAGGAAAAAAAAAACCTCAGTAACAGTGAGGGTGGTCAAACACTGGAAGGCTGCCCAAGAGGTTGCGCAGTCTCCATGCTTGGAGATATTCAAAACCTGACTGGACATGGTCTTGAGCAACCTGCTCCAGCTGACTCTGCTAGAGGACCTCCAGAGGTTCCTTTCAACCTCAGTGTTTCTGTGATGCTCACATGCAAAAACAAGATACCTGTTTCAGAGCTGAATATAGCCCGTTGGCCCATCAGTTGCTTCCAAACTTCTCCAAAGCTGATGCTTACTGTATTCTTAAATTAAGCACATAACCTCAGACTTTGCTACGTTATGACCTTAGCCCTAATCAAAAAATCACATCTGAGAACAGACGCTCACACTCACATCTTAACCTTCACATTAACTCCAGGATGCATTCTAACACGCAGAGCATTTCAAAAGTTGCAGCTGTTACAGTAATGCAAATGAAAACACACGCTTGCAAACATCTTGTGAAAATTGAATACAAGAGTCACTAAAAACCTTCCTGAATTTTGACTACAAAACTATGTTTTTGAAAATGCTAGTGTGACACAGCCCATGTCTTTTGTCTTTTACTTATTTTTATAGGAAGAAAATCCCACGCTATTTCTAGCTGAAAATACACCTGTTAAGAGCTGTTTCTGTGGTCTGTGGGCACGCACATGTATGATATTTTAAGGAGCCATGGCTGTAGCATCACTGCATGCTGCCTCTTATGGTGAAGTTGGCTCAAGAGCATCCACTCTCAACCTGTCTTAGGTGCTGTTCTTCTCCCTGCACTGCAATTTACCAGATCCTCAGAGACTATGTAGCGACTTAAGCTGAAACCTGACAAACACGGTAAGTGAAAGGAAAACACCCACAATTAGTCATTTGCCTCAACCTTCACCCTAGGCCAAGAGCGTAGGCACATTGAATCTGCCCCCCCCACCCCAAAA